AAAAAAAAAAAAAAAAAAAGGAGGGACTTTCTCGGATTCAAAATCTATCCCTCTTGGGCTGCCACCAATGGTCCTCGTTCTCCTTCCTTGGGTGTTTGTACACAGACTTTTCCTGTCTGAGCTAACTACACCAGCCAGTCTGCGCACACGCCTTGAACAGGGACCAGCCCATCCTAAGTGTTCAGTACACGTTGGCTTTTGTTATTGCAATCATGCCTTTCATAGCAGTAGACCTATGAGACAGATTCTGTTAATATTCTTATTTTACAGACTGGAAAACAGGCTCAGAAATGTGAAGTGACATCTGATGTCACACTGCATGACATTTAAAGGACTCAGTCTCCGAAACCCATGCTTATAGGCATTTTTTACTAACTGCTTTTGAGAATGGAAAATAAACTCTCTCTAAAGGTGGAAAAGCAGGAGACATAGTATCCTTTCAGTTACTAGACTTCTGTTCTTACACTGCCAAAGTATCTTTTTAAAAGGTTCATTGTTTATCATCTAAGTATGAAAAACGTAGTACATGTAAAATATAAAAAAGTCAAATAAAATTATGCTGCTTAACCAATTATGAGAATTTTCCTCATGACGTTATCTTTTGGCAGTTATATCACATTGACTAATCTAAGCCTATTGACACCTCAACTGAGTGTTTTCACACATGTATGACTGACTCATGGAAGAAACATATAAGACCTTTGTGTATCATTTTCCTTTAAATACATTCAGTGTGGGCATGTTCTTAATCTGTGACTGAATGATGACTAAGGTTCCATATTTTGGGGGCAGGCTTTGGTAATAGAATTCATCTCTATGGGTTAGGTGTGGTGGCTCATGCCTGTAACCCAGTGCTTTGGGAGACTGAGTCTGATTCTTCTCTGATTTATACTCCCACTCTTTCTACTTCTTTCTATGAAATATAAACATCAGCTCACTATGATTTCCCCAAATAGCAGGAGATGCATAATGAGCTCTCCAACTGTTCCACTAAAGCCCCTCTTATAACTTGATGTGAAAGGCAGGCACACAAAACACCAACAGGTTACACCAAAAAATTAACCCACAATCTCCAATGACTGACCTTTTTTGGACACTTGATATGTGAGTACATGTGTTATGTAAGTAATCTAACCTCTGACTTTTGAAAATTGACCATAAGACAGTAAAATAGTTGAAACTATGATCCAGTATACACTGGTGAAACAGTACTATTTTATTACATTCAATATTATTCTACTCTGTCTTTATCCTAATTATAAGATGTAGATCACCAGTTAGATTTAACAGTCCCCAACCCCAGAGAGTCACAATCTGCAGTAGGAAAACCTCCAGTCAACCAGTTCTTAGCTATGTTTGAAAACACGCATCTTGATTTAGTAACTCAGTTTGATGTCAGGTATCTTATTTTTTAGTTTTTTCATTTTTGTTTTCTATTATGTGAGTTTCCAAAGAAGACCAGTCTGAGTGTTTTGAATACTTCCTAGATTGACTGCATGCTTATTATACATAATTGTCTGCAACTTAATACTCAGAGCCATACTTTTCACAACTTCAACTTCAGAAGGTGATTTTTATTTTGTCATTTGTGTGAATGGGGATTCTAGAGTCACAAATGTCCTTCCTGACTAATCATAAACAAACATGCGGTCCATGTGTCAGAAGTGGTCTGTTGTTTTCTCACTCTTGTCATTCTTCAACAACTTTTCCTGCAGTATGATGTGGTTGAAAAATACTCCAATCGGAGCTTTGCGATGGACAGCTGCAAAGCAAGGCCAAGCAGAAGACAACGTCTACATCATTGATGATCATCTTTATGTCATGGATTAAGACCCAGTGGTGCTCTTTGAGGTTTTATGCCCATGATGGCAGACAACAGTGACCAGATATCACCATATCAGACATCTTTTAAACTCCAGCATCATTTTTTCCTGTGTCAGTTTCATCTGACCTTCCAACAAGTCAGTGCAATTGAGTAGAGTGACTTCCTATCTCAAAACTGTATCGTCAATCTCATTGTTGAAATCATCCTCATTTTTTACCCAAATAGCTCCAACTCTGATCATTGCAGAGCTCTCTCAAACATGAATGCTTTAGAATTGTATGTTGTCTTTAGACCCCACAAATACTGTATCCATCTGAGAGAATGGTAATTGGGAACACAGGCAATGAACTTCTATCTTGGGCACCAAGGCTGTCAAGAAGAGAGGAAAAGGACTTGAAAATCAGCTAAACCAATCTGAGAGTTCATTTGGAAGCATTTCATGATTATCTCTTATTTCTGTATTGTAACTTCAAATGCTACATGTCTTAGGTTCACCAAGGGTTTCAAGTCATGTGGAGTGTGCAAGTTTTTACCTTCTCCATGGGGAAGTAGAAGTGAGTCTAATTTCACTATAGCAGTTGTGTCTGTTTTCTCATGGCACTGAAATGTGGTGTATGCTTACTTGATTCCTGGGTGAGGGTAGCTATTTTAATAGTCAAAAAGAGCTGCAGTAGTGAACATGGACCAAGTAGACAAGGGGAAGAAAATCACTTGCCATGTGATTCAACACATTTATGCTACATCTACTACATTTGCATTTGTCATGGTGTCAGTTACTTATGTAAATATCCATGAGACTCTCTGAACTAATTTTTAGAATGAGGTAAGGTAGAAATGAAAATGAAAAAAGGGAGGGAGTTGGGGAAAAGGCTTTATGCCTCAGAAAAGTCATATTACAAATAGAGTCATGTTTGAAATTATCACAGTTTCGACCCAAATTCTAAATTTCAATATTGTCTCTAAAGCACTTTTATATTTAAAATATAGTTTCAAGCTGGGCTTGGTGGCTCAGCCTGTAATCCCGCGCCTTTGGGAGGCTGAGGTGAGTGGATTGCCTGAGCCCGCGGGTTTGAGACCCGCCTGGGCAGCGAGACCTCATCTCTACAATAAATCAAAAAATCAGCTGGGCGTGGTAGCACGTGCCTGTAATTCCGGCTACTCGGAAGGCTGAGGCGGAAGGATTGCCAGAGCCCAGCAGGTCAAGGCTGCGGTGGCCGGGAGCGACCACTGCACTCCAGTCTGGGTGACAGAGTGAGCCTCCAACTCAAAAAAAATATATATATATAGTTTCAGAAAGGTGAAGGATCTTTAGATCTAATCAATTTCATTGTTATTTTTTCACAATTCAATTAAACGCACTGTAAGGATATCTTTAGTCAGCAGTATAATTCTTCAAAAGTATAGATTTACAAGGGCTAGATTTGTCAGATGAAAAACATTTCTTTTTTTTTGTTTTTTTTAATTAATATTTTTTATTTTGGTATTGTGGGGCACAGTTAAGGGTTAGGTATACAAATATGTTTCGTTCAGGCACCCTTGCTGATAAGGGGTGTCTCCCCAGAAAAACATTTTTACATGAACAGTTAAGGCTGGGTATTAATTTCAGTTTCATTTTGCGTAAACCTTGAAATACTTCAGCTTGGGGGTCAGATCTACTCACACCACAGTGTTCTAGGAGGATGGGATGCTTGCTTTTTCTTGGGTTAGAGTTGTTGGGTACAGGTGGGGATTTACGCCATAAGCGGGTTGTATGCAGGTGAACTTTGAGCCTCTAGCTGGCCCTCTCTCCCTCTGATAGTGGCCGAGGGCCCAGTGTGTTAGCACGTGCTTCCCTCCCACCCTGGTGATCCCTGCTGATCCCTTGTGCTAGTGTGACCAGTGTTCAGGGCCTGCTTATGAGTGAGAACATGCAGCATTTCATTTTTTCTTTCTGCAATTGTACACTTAGTGTGATGGTCTCCAGCTGTGGAAGAAGACAGCTTTCAAAGAAAAACATTTTCAACGCTGGTGCAGAGTTCTAGGAAATTAGTGGGTCCTTTGAATGAAGGTTCTGTGGGCAAATAAGGTTGCGATACATGGTACTTTTGGTTTTCCAAATGGGGTCGGCATGATCCACTCTAAAAATCTATTTTTTTTTCAAACTATGAGTTTTTTTCTTAAATGTGAGACAAAACCTGCATAAACCAAGAGAACTGAAATTAAAGCCCAGATTTGTAGCTTCTCTGGAAAGACTTGGAGAGATGGGACTGCATGCCCATGCGGTCAGAGTCCCACTAGCTAGGGCCACACTCTGGCCCCCAAGTTCTCACCTTCCCTGCCTGGTCCCTTCTGCTGCCTGCCCAGGGCCTGTAGGACTTTTAGTTTGTGGTACCTACTCTAGTCTCCATGCCCTTTCTGAAGTTTTTTGTTGCACCTTAAAACCCCTGGCAGTCTGGCTAACTTTGTTTAACACAGCATTTCCAAAGTACGTTTGAACATATGAGCACGTGAAACAAAACAGAATACGTAGGGGCTTAGGATGATATACAGGATTAGAAATAGGACTTCAGATTTTTTTTAAAAATTTTAAATTTGTAATTGGAGTCTCACTCTGTCACCCAGGCTGGAGTGCAGTGGCATGCTCACGGCCACCACAGTCTCAATCTGCTGGATTCAGGCAATCCTTCCATCTCAGCCTTCCCAGTAGCTGGAACTACAGGCTTGTGCCACCATGCCCGGCTAATGTTTTGATTTACTATAGAGCCGAGGTCTTGCCATATTGCCCAGGCTGGTCTTGAACCCATGAGCTCAGGCAATCCTCTCACCTCGTCCTCCCAAAGTGCTGGGATTATAGGCATGAGCCACTGCCCCTGGCCCAGGACTTAAGTTCTTTAGAACAAATTAAAAAAAAAAATTTTTTTAGTGACAAATTTTCTCTTTGTTGCCGAGGCTAGGATACAGTGGTGCCATCACAGCTTACTACAACCTCAGCCTCCTGAGCTTGATCCTCCCTCCTCAGTCTCCTGAGAAGCTAGGACTACAGGCAACCCTCTGGATTAGTGGGGACTGTAGCCACTAATCCTGATTAGTGCCTGATTTTTTAAATTTTTACTTTTTGGTACAGATAGGGCCTTGCTTTGTTGCTTAGGCTGGTCTCAAATTTCTGGCCTCAAGTGATCTTCCTGCCTCGGCCTCCCAAAGTGCTGTGATTATAGGTGTGAACCATTACCAGCTAGGATTGAGTTTTAAAATCCTAATTTAGCAGTAACACTGTGTGACTTTAGGAAAGATTGTTTTTTATGTCTGAATTTTTTAATTGATTGGATGTACTCATTTCTACACCAACAAAGACATCCAGTGATAATTCCAATGAAATATTACTTTAAGAAGTGTTTGAAAAGTTAAAAAAAAACTACAGGTAATGAAGTAATTTAGATACTTAAAACACTACAGAAATGCAAAGCTTTTTTTTCTCGGTAGCTTTTTTAGTAATAGCAGATCTAGCATTAGTGCTCAGTAAATAATTTCAGTGTTGTTATATTCATAAGTCTTGCTGTATGATATCGTTAAATAATGTTTAGTTTTTGAAAAGTTGATGTTGGGTCATTTAACTATCATACAGTAGAAAAAATGTATCCATAACTAATAGGGAGAAGGAAAGAATTCAATTAATATTTAATGTTTCTGTAAATATATCAATTCTATACATCGCATTGAATTTTGTTTTGTTTTTGATTCTTTGAGACACAATTGAGATTATGTTACCTACAATCTGCCTTGGTACATTAGGACACTGGTGTAATTGAGATTATATTTAAACTTAAGACATTTTGCACATTTTAAGTAGTAGAACCATTTGTTCACTGATGGCTATAAAGATGAAATAATTTTGTGAGTTTGTGAATGTGAGGGCCTCTTAGTGGTTGTCCAGGCTCACTTGTATGTATACTCATCAATAAAATAGTTTTTTTTTTTTTTTTATTTTGAAACTGACTTGGTATTTTCTCTGGTTCATCAATTAGTTTGGACCAGTCAGGTACCTTCAACTTGATGTGGGCTCCAGGACAAAGTCAAAGTGGACCAAAGTTTGTTGAGAGTCAAGTAGAGCTCAGGTGGTCTACAAGGTGCTGGGGTCATAGCAGAGAACAATCCAGAACTCCAGTTCTCAAGAAGCTCCAATTTAGAAGTGAAGAAATATAAAGCCATCATTTCTGCACAGGAGAAAGAATGTTGTGGTAAAGCCTGGCTTCTCACCACGGCATTTGGGGTCAGAAAACAGTGTTTGGCGTACTGCCTTGTGCATCATAAGACATTTGGTATCATCCTGCCCTCTACCTACAAGATGCCAATCACACCCTCCACTTGTGAAATATCTCCTGAGGGGCAACATCAGCCCGGGTTGAGAACCACCTTAGTAGAGGGTGTCTGGGGGTGGGTAGTCAGCGATGCAGCTTCAGCTGGTTGGTCAAGGGCTGCTTCTGGAAAAGAGGTGACATTTAAGTTGAAACTACAAGAAATGGGTAGGCAGCAGCCACATGAAAATCTGTTGGAAGGAATCCACAGAAAGCAAAGACTCTAGGGCAGGAAGAAACTTGTGTATTAAAAGAGAAGAAATGAGGCCAGGCACAGTGCCTCATGCCTATAATCCCAGCACTTTGGGAGGCTGAGGTGGGAGGATTGCTGGGGCCCAGGAGTATAAGACCTGCCTGGGCAACATAGCAAGCAAGTCTTTGTCTCTACTCTGTGTGTGTGTGTCTCTCTCTCTCTCTCTCTGTGTGTGTGTGTGTGTGTGTGTGTGTGTTTAATTAGCTGGGCATGTTGGCCTGTAGTCCCCTGGGCCTGTGACCCAGACCAGAGTGCAGTGGCACGATCAAAGCTCCTGGGCTCAAGTGACCCTCCTTTGTCAGCTTCTCAACAAGCTAGGACTACAGGCACGAACCCAAGCTGGGACTACAGGCACACAACACCATGTTCAGTTACTTTTATTATTTTCTGTAAACTGGGTCTGACCATGTTGTCCGGTCTGAACTTCTGGTCTCAAGTGATCCTTCCGCCTTGGCCTCTCAAAGTGCTGAGATTTTAGGCTTCAACTACCACATTGGCTAGAAGCTGGATCTTGAAAGCAAAGATACAGGGAGTTACAGTTTGGCTCTAATTGAATTGGGGCACCCCCCC